TTAGTGAAACATAGAGAGATAATTCGCTCAAGGTCACACAGCAGGTAAGTGGCAGAAGCAGGATTTGAGTGCAGGCTCTAGTGCCTGTGGAGTCAACTGCAGCCCAATGCTGCCTAAGCTGCTGCATTTCAGTAGGAATGAGTTATAAGTACAAGCCTCTTATTTTTGTTACATGAAATATAATCTATTTCAATTTAGGCTCCTGTCAAGAATGTATTCTTTCCTTCAAGATAAATTGAACACCTCTTTCTTTCAACAGGCCAAACCAGACCATGCAGGTGCATACAAGGAGACAGATATTCTTAATGTATTGAAATAAAACACACTGTAGAGCTTATTGAAGGAGCACACACCCATAATGATACCCACAGTTGAAAATATTGGTTCTTAAAATGAATGCTGAGCAGCTAATCAGTTGAGACTGAGTTTTTATGGCCTTTCAGTGTGGACTGGAGAGACACAAGAACAGTACAGAACATGTCTTAGAGACTCAGCAGATCTCTGAACCAGAGGAGAAACCACTTAGCCATAGCCAGATTTATATAATTTCCTAAGTGGAAGTTTATGGCAGACGCTCCCTACCACATAAATATTGGTATAGTTCCCATTACATCAGTGAGTTCTTATTCTCAACTTATCTTTCAAGCATCATAAAATTTCCAAGTTCAAAAACAACAACACACCTCTAGCTATTGCTTTGGTTTTAGGTGTATTTTTAGCTTGAGTAGATCCTACCTGAATAATAGTGTCAAGAATCTGTCATCCAACATTAGAATACTCAGGTAAGTAATCATCTGCATAGAATGATTCATGCTTCACATTATATGAATACCTGGAAATCAGCAACCAATCCACTGGAATTGCACAGGGTGCTGAGCACAGTGAATATGACAGGACGAATATGACAGGATGAACCATGGGGTTCATAGATATTAATTTTGATGGAAAATCAGAAGCCAGAACAGATATAAGTACCACCAAACCTGACCATTGGCTTTTGAAAAGAAGAACACTTCATTCATAGCAGCACAATTCACCATAGCTAAGATTTGGAAACAGCCTAAGTGCCCATCAACAGATGAGTGGATTAAAAAAACTGTGGCACATCTACACAATGGAATACTACGCTGTGGTAAAAAGGAAGGAATTCTTACCGTTTGCATCAGCATGGATGGAACTGGAGAGCATTTTGCTAAGCAAAATAAGCCAGTCAGAGAAAGATAAATATCATATGATCTCACTCATTTGTGGAATATAATGAACAACATAATCTGATGAACAAAAATAGATCCAGAGACAGAGAAGCATCGATCAGATCGTCAAACCTCAGAGGGAAGGTAGGGGAGGGTGGAGGTGAGGGGGAGAGATCAACCAAAGGACTTGTATGCATGCATATAAGCCTAACCAATGGACAGAGACAACAGGGGAGTGAGGACATGAGTGGGGGCGGGGAGCAGTGGGGGGATAAGGACACATATGTAATACCTTAATCAATAAAGAAAAAAATTAAAAAAATTAATATCTACAATGCAGTAGGGCTTCTAAAATACAATGAAGGAAAATGAAGAAAATAGGCACAATGAAAACCTTCACAAGTTGTGCTGGTCAGTACAGGAATATTGCTGTAAGGATTAGTTTTATGTGTTAACTTGACTTGGCCTTGGGATGACCAGATATTTGTTCAAGCATTATTCTGGGTGTGCCTGTGATTGTGTTTTTGGATGAGATTAACATTTGAATCAGTCATTGAGTAAAGCTGATTGCCTTCCAATGTAGGTTCTCATCTAATTGGTTGAATCCAATTCAAGAATAAGAAGGCTGATCCTCCCTTGAGTAAGAAGGAACTCTTCTTGCCTAACTGCCTTGAGCTGGGACTTCGGTCTTTCTCTGCCTTTGGACTCAACCTGAAATACTGGCTCTTCTTTGTTTTCACACCTGCTGGCTTTCCAAGTGGTACCATTGGGTCTCCTGGTTCTCAGACCTTTGCATGTAGACTGGAATGACACTATCAACTTTCCTGGGTCTTCAGGCATCCAGCTTGCTGACTGCAGATCTTGGGACTTCTCAGCCTCTATAATTAATCTATCTGTATCTATCTTTCTATCTATCTATCTATCTATCTATCTCTCTATCTATCTATCTATCATCTATCTATCTATCTTATTTACTCTGTTTCTCTGGAGAACCCTAACTAATATAGTTTTATTCTTCACAAAATTAAGGGCACATGGCTTATTTTTTTCCTAATACACTGAAACATGTATGTCCATTTTTCTTCAGAGCTGAGGTCTTTTATCAAAGAAATAAAGAGGTTTATTTACAAGGACAAGTCTGTAGAAAAATGATAACGCTAAAGAAAAGTGAATTCCATCATTGCTTAAACTTGTAATAACTACGTGAAGTCGCTAAGTAATAAACAGCCTTTCATCACTTTATAGTGGGTCTTTCCATATCCTTAGGAGCTCTGAACTCACAGAAAATGAATAGGCAGAATAATCTGGCAGCTAGAAGGTCATTTTTTCATAAACCCTTCCTCAACTTTCTTAAACTTCTTTTCCCATATTCAATGTATAACACAACCACAACTTAAAGAAAAACATGTTTCCCTCAATCTATCTTAACATTAGGTCATCTGAAACTTGTCTATCATTTTATACCTACACAACTACTAGAATTTTAGAATTATTTATGATGTTGACCAGTCTTCCTTGGGAACACTTAATGGCAGCTTCTATATTACTGAATGCCTCAGTTAGTGGTGGTTGGCTGAACATACTATTCTGTATATTTAGCAGGGTATCATACTAAATTTGAAGTCTTATCAGATCTGTTACAATGAGAAGTTTAAGTTGGACTTCCCTGCGTGCTTTAGACATTGAGCATGACTTCTCCATCCTTAGCATTGTTCACTATAGCTGTCTACTGCATACTACTGAATAAAATGAATGGATATGTCTTCAGACCTGTATCAATCATTTCCATATAACTATGACTACCTTTCTTTTATCTTTATTATATAATATTAAACATCATATTTATGTATAATATCTTATAATTCACACTTTCTGTAGAGTTGTCTTACTTATTTTGATTTCCAAAAAAAGATCCTATATAAAACAATCATCAGTTTCTTAATCCTTACTAATAGGTTTCGAAAGGGGTGGTAAAAACATCATTCTTCAAGAAAATTAAAGCTGGATGCATAATATGAAAAAAAATCAAATATGATAAATATGCATGATCTAGTCAAACTCATGCACATTAACTCATATTTATTTTTTTTAAAAAAGAAGCAGTATTAACAATTCTGTGGGCTGATCTTTGGTCAGAAGGCAATCCCCACAACAATACCTCAGCTTCTACCTAAAAAAGAAATATTGTTTTTAAATGTCCCTCTCCTTGATCATATGGGTGAATATTTCACAAATTTCATATTTGAACATTTTTGATGACATATATATAATCAAAACTTTTAAATAAATAAACACAATTACAGCTGTTAACAGAGGTTTAAATGAATACCTTGTTAATAAATGCTATTATTATTATTTTTTAGTGAATCTTGATTTAGTCTTTAGCCACAACATATATCTGAAACTTGAGGCGGACTTTTCTTGTGGCTTATGAAATTAGTGTCATTTCTTTCTAGTCCACGATTCAAATCCTTGGCTCATTTTATTGTCTGTTTTAGGAGAATTCGTTTCCATATCTCAAAGTTAAAATATTCTAAATGGGCTATTCATTACATTTAAAAATCAATTATAGCTAAAGCTGGCATTTGGTAAACAAAAGGAACTTTTCTAAACAAAAGAAAGGATGCTCAGTCCCTCCTTAAAAAGAGCTGAGGCTTTCCGCAGCTTCCCAGTTCCCCCTCTGCAGCTCTTCCAGGAGAGCCAGTCTGGGGACCAGAGGGAAGGACTTCTCCGGACACGCACAGCATCACCAACCGCAAAGCCAAGCCGCGCTCTTTGCCTGGATGTACTACTGTATGTTTGGTTTTGCTAGGTTGTTTCCAGTGCTCTTTCGAGTGCATTTCCAGACTGTGTCAATGGAGATGAGAATGCAAACGTGGTGATGAGATGAGATACAGAGAACTAATAATATAAAAATAAACTCTTCATTCATGAGATATATAGAAAATAAATAGTTAAAAGTTAAAAGCATAATCACTTCAGTTTTGAATTCCTTGAACATTAAAAGTAGAAGGTAGATTATGATGATTATTTAGGCCATTTGCTATGAAAATGTTATTAGATTCACTTAAAATTTTCATGGCTTTATTTTTCTGATTTTTTTAAAAAAGTTACATGATCTTGTATATTTATTTCACATATTTCTCATTTTATAAATACCAGAGGTGACCAGGATTGAGAACCTAAGAGACTTGTCATTTAGTAAAGTACCAGATAGAATGTAAGAAGATAAAAATCCACCAAATAATTTTTGATTTCGAAACAACAGGAAGATTCAACGTTACCATCTTCCCCTATCCAATTATCATTTTCAGTTCCTGCTGTCCCATCACCTGAAATTCATTCCGCTTAAAACTACGGATGGCAAAAACATGAGCACTTCTTGGCGTGACAATATTTTAGGCTGTTAACTGTGGTTTATAACATCATCTCTTTGTATGCCAGGACAGGCTTTGTTAGGAAATACAGAGAAAACAGCTCATAGACACACTATACTTCTGGGAGAGGGCATGCCAACCATAGAAACAGACCAGGAAAAGCAGGTTCTGGTCAGAGGACAATCCCACAGGCTTCATCCACATACCAAGGCTGGTTCCACTCACTAAAGCCACAGAATATTCAGGCACATTCTTGTGTGTTCCCCTGGCCTGCATTTATTTTTAAACCTGCGCTCTAATAAACATCTGAGTTGCTATATAATGTTTCCCCTGGACTATTTCACTCTGCCCTCAAACTGGTTGACCTACTTTGTCTTGTTTTGGAGATTTTACACACAAGCATCCTCAGAGGATAAAAACATTCACTTACCTGACCTTTCTGTTGTGTTGACTGAACTCTGATTTTCAGCTTTAAAGGAAAGAAAAGAAAAGAAAATCACTAAAGTGAAATGCTGAGTATCGGATCTACTCATAATTATTCCAAGTGGTAAATGAATATAGAACTTAGCTCATCTGTGATTTGCTTTCCCTTAAATAATAAGATCACGAGGCTTCATGGTTAAAAGATACTTTAGAGCAGGGGTCAGTCAGCTTTGACTTAAAGGGCTACTTAGTAAATAGGTTCGGCTTTGTGGCTCATGTCTCTGTAGCAACTACCCCACTTTACAGCTGTAGTGTGAATGCAGCCACACATCATACCTGAAGTATAGGTGTGTCTGTGTTCCAATGAAACAGTACTTAGAGAAACAGGTGAGGACTGGATTTGGCCTGCAGGCCACAATTTGCTGAATCCTGCTTTAGAGAGTCTAGAACACCTATGACACGCGTGTCAGAGGTGACACGCAAACTCATTTTTTTGGTTGATTTTTCTTTGTTAAATGGCATTTAAATATATAAAATATCAAAAATGTCTTTGTTTTACTATGGTTGCAAATATCAAAAAATTTCTATATGTAACACAGCACCAGAGTTAAGTTAGGGTTACAATGCAGGGGAGCTCTCTACAGGTCAGATTACTTGAGGGAATGATAAAGTTCACTTCAGCAACTTGGAGTATATTCACCATAAACAATTCTTGCCATGTGGAAAATATAGAAAATATTTCTGAAACAAATAGAAGCCCAATAATAAATGTTTAAAGTATCCATTTGCTTTCTTTGTACCTTTACTTGACTGATATTCTTAAATTACACTCCGACCTCCTTAGTTCAATAGTACTATTGCCCCTTCTCTCTCCCTGCCTTTCCCCTCACCCCGCATCACACAATGTTTAAAGTATCCATTTGCTTTCTTTGTACCGTCACTTGACTGATATTCTTAAATTACACTCCCCCCTCCTTGGTTCAATGCATAGTACTATTGCCCCGTCTCTCTCCCTGCCTTCCCCCTCACCCCCCATCACATAAGACAAAAAGTAGTGGCCTTTCTTGATTCTCTTCTTTTTCTCACCACCATCAGTTCTAGCTTCAAGTTATATTTCAACTACCTCTCACCACTTAATTGGCTACTATTCATCTGGAACCCATACTTCTCCTTTTGACATCTGCAATAATGGCCACCCAGAAAAACCTTTTTAAACTTAAACTTGGCTGCTTCAGTCTGCTTCATTTGCTCAACAGTACTTTCATTGCTACAGTAACATTTACTTTATTTAAGAAAATTGTTGTCAGAATGTAAGCTCCATGAGGACAGAGATTTCTATTTTTTAATTAAAGTCTACTTTATATGTAATATTATAATTTTCAGTGTGCAACAGTGATTTGGCATTTATATACATTACTATGTGATCACCACGATATGTCTAGTAACTGTCTGTCACCATACAGTCATTACAACATTATTGACTATATTCCTTATGCTGTGCATTGTATCCCATGATTTGTTTTATAACTGAGAGTTTATATCCCTTCACCTTTTCCCCCCACTTACCTTCCTCCAGGAACCATCACTTTGTTTTCTGTTTCTATGAGTCTGTTTCTGTTTTGTTTTTTCATTTGTTTTGTTTTTTAGATTCCCCATATAAGTTAAATCATAGTGAATGTGTCTTTCTCTGCTCAACTTATTTTACTTAGCATAATACCCTCTAGGTCCATCCAAGATTACGTTTTTCAATCAAGCCACAATTCCAGTGCCCACCACCAGGACATGGCAAAATAGATCTCCAGTAAAAAAAAACAACACATATGGAATGAACAAATGAGGGTAGAAAATAACAATAATTAATAATAATAATAATAATAATGTTACTATTATTATTAACAGTTAAGGCTAATCATACTTACTTAAATTTAGTTTTAAGGGAAAATTAATGCTTTATTTAAAATGGCTAGTTGGATAATCATAGCTACCATTTTTAAAGCAACTCTTATGATCAGTGCCATATATTATTTGTTGATGTCTACAAGAGAGATACTCATTTGGAAACCTGAAAACATCTTCTGAGAGAAGTAAAACTACTTCCTCAAGGGGGTACAATGATTAAAAGTCAGGCCTGTTGATTCTAGTGTCCATCTCCTTTTACTAAAAGAGACAGCTTTTCTTCCACTAAACTATTCTGAAAGTAAAGTTTATGTAATTAAGTCCAACATTTGAAAACTAGTTAAAATACTTTTGAACATGGCATAATGCTGTATGTGGAAGATGCAGATAAAATATTTATCAGCTTCTAGAGGGTTAGAATACAAAGCCAATCAAAAACCCTTTGTTTCTCTGGCTATTAATATCAGGTCATAACCTTTCTTGCTGATAGACTGCATTAAGAATGAAAAATGTTTAAATTTGTATGAGGGAAAACCTTCTGACTAACCTTCAGTTGTGTATTTTTTTTTCAGCCTTCAAAAATGTATAATAATTTTAGAACTTGTTAAAACTTATATAAAATAAAAGTAACTATGTTTTAAGGTGTAGTAAAATTTAAAAAATTCATCTACCAATTCAATCTTTGCATATATATTGAGTCCTAAGATGACCATATTTTTATATATGAATGAATATCTTGTTATTCTGAGGACAAAATTCTGCAAAACTTAAATATTTAATCAATATTAAAATAGTACTATTTTTCAGAAAGCAAGTAGAATTATTCTGAAGAAATAATTCTGTGTTTTCATAGGCATACCACTTTCAAATTTGAAGTCAATTCTATGGATATAAAAGCATAATTGAGGTGAATGCTGTGAATATGGCTAAGTTATGGGGATTAACCAAAAGTGAAGATAACTATAATTATTCCTGTCTTTTACTTATACTTTTCAGAATACACATGTGTGTTGAGAAAGGACCAAGATCTGATCTACAGAGGAAGTGAGTCAAGTTGAATAGCGAATGAGTTCAGTGCACCCTTTTGACCTATTCTCAAATTCAGGTGTTTAATAAAGATGAGCAGCTTAGGATGGTTGGCAAATTAAATCTGTTTGTTGAATTTGATTTTCTAATATGATACTGAAGTCTTAAGAAATGCAAATGGACTTCTAAACTGCTAAACTTTAATCCTCATTAATACAAAGCTAAACTTTAACTCAAATAATTAGCTTTTAAAACAGAAAGCTTAAACAACAATACAACAAATAACTTTGCTGACTAGTCTTCTCTTACAAAGGATATTGTGTTTCCAGCTATACAGAGTTGTATATAGTTATACGCAGAACATCATTAACAGGTCCAGGAGGAAAAATAAATAGTTACTCACAAATATAATTCTTTACTGATAAAGAATTTAAAATAATTTGCTTAAAATAATTTGTTATAAACCATTCAAGTTTTCTTTATCATTCTCCAATACATGGCATGGATCAAGTCATTGTATGTGAGATTATTTCTCGTTGGCTGAACCATGACTTGTGACTAAGACTTTGTTATCTCGAGGATTCCTTTGGCATGTGTCTATAAGAAATTATATAAACTAAGTAGCGTATAAAAAACATTATGATACACTTCCCAAATAAGTGGCATAAATAAATCAAGTCGTTCACAAAAGAAATAATGGGTCTGGGAGATCAGATAAGTTAATGTTTTCCAAAGGATGAGATGCATAGCACTGTATGAGAGATTTTATAAGCTGTACTGGAAAGTGGCATTAAATAACATTATAACACTCAATTATAAAGTTATTCCACTTTTGCTTTCTTTCAGTTTATTTGATGATTTAAATGAGGAAGTTTTAAAATTTGTTTCATGCAAATATGTCATTTATACCCTATCATGGTATTACCTTGATTTTTTTGTCCTTTTTCAGGAGAAAGTGAGTGCACAATCCCCCACGACCACAAATGATACAGTTGATTTTCCCACATCTGGGGAAATGATAGGGGTCAGCACATCTGGAGTTCCGTGGATAAACCTGGCCTTGGGAAACCACCTTCATGATCATGATATCTCCCCTACAGGTAAGTATTTGATTTATTTTTTGTAACCAAGGGCAAGCAAGCCTCAAACTCAGAGCCTTTGGCAAGCGGCATAATGTAGCTAGAATTTAATTTTATTTTGCTTACATCATAGTGATTTGATAGCTCCTGCCTGTGCCAGTGAAACTGGTTTTGCATTTAAGATAACGGTTTCTTTTTCAAACAAATTTAAGAAAAGTTGCATCAATTTAAAGAAAGTACTAAATAAATAAATACTAGTGCAGATGGTACACATATCTGGCAACTCTCATTAAGCTGTGGAAAATATTGAGGTAAAATCTTATAGAGACCCTTGATGAATGTATAGAATTTGAATAAGAAGTTGGGAGCTGTATATAGTTATACACAGAACAAGGGGAAGAACAAATGAGGACCATACAAATGTGAGGGGAAGGACACACACACACACACACACACACACACACACACACGAGTCAAGAATAAGTCAAGACTAAGTCTGGCATAGTGGGCAACAGGGAGAGCAGTACCCTTGTTAGAATCATACATAGATTTATAGTCTGTCAGCCAACAGCCCCTCAGCCAACCTCTTGTGTTACAGTTATTGAACACCTACTTGTCAAGCATATGATACAGCCAATTAAAAGCTAGTTGTTTTCTACTTCCTTTAGCTACTTTATGTAAAATAGCTGCAGTGAGAACAAGTGTAGTATAATAAAGTATACGGGGTTTGAGGCAAGAAAAAGAGGGTTTGAATTTCATCTTCTTAATTTAAACTTGGCCAAGTTATTTAATCTTCTGAACCTGCTTCTTTATTTGTGAAACTGGTGTCATCAATACCAACAATGCCGGGCTTTTACAGGATTATTATTAATAGGAGCTTTAATTTATTGTGTTTACCTGCCATACACTGTTTTTATCTCTTTTGATCTTCACAAGAATCTGAGATGGGCATAACATCATTATAAAATATTTTATGGATGAGAAAACTGCGGCACAGAGAAGTTAAATAAACAAATGGTTGTGCTATTATTTGACTCTAAGAAAT